ATATTAAAGGAAAGCATGATGTTAACAAAAAGAAATTGGAGAAGAAAAGGAGTTACTATTTGCTTCATGCCAAAGATATGTTAAATTTTTCCTATTTTATGACGTAATTTTGCACATAGTCAAATGCTGGACAACAAATGATCAAGGAACATGGAAATATTATTGAAGAGAACGAAATATTTTGGTGAGAAGAAGATAATTATCTTCCCCTCCTCAACTTCATTATATAGAGACGTTAAAGAATACACGTATGGAAAATTTGTAAATAAAGAAACATAATAACCCATAATTATACTCTTGCCTAATATACGTGCTTGCCTAATATATGGGATTCCTAATTTATTTTCTTAACACCCCCCCTCAAGTTGGAACATATATATCATATAAGCCCATCTTGGAACAAAGAAATCACAATTGATTGCCCACTATCTTGTCCCGAACAAAGTGACAGTCAACTTCAATATGCTTGGTCCTATAATGAAAGACTGAATTGGATGCAATATGTAGAGCAGCCTGATTATCACAGAATATCGGTATAGGAGTAGAAGTTGAGAAATTGATTTCTTGAAGAAAGTGCTGCAACCTCACTTGCGGTATAAGCCATCGCCCTACATTCTGCTTCTGCACTTGACCTTGCTACTACAGTTTGTTTCTTATTTTTCCAAGAGACAAGATTACCACCGAGAAAAGTACAAAAACCAGTAGTAGATCTCTATCTGACGGAGATCCTGCCCAATCTGCATCTATAAACCCTTCTACTCTGATATGTCCATTTGGTTTATATAATAATCCAAGACCTGGAGCCTTTTTCAAATACCGAACAATACGTATCACAGCTTCCCAATGAGAAATATGAGGGGCATCTAAGAACTGACTAACCACGCTAACTGCATACGAAATATCTAGTCATGTGATGGTAAGATAATTCAGTTTCCCTACCAGACGTCAATATTTTCTTGGTTCTCCAAACAATTTCCCTTCATCTTTCAAAAGCTTCACGTTAGGGTCCATAAGAGTATCAACTGGACAACTTCCAAGAAAGCCCGTCTCATCTAACAGGTCAAGAAGAACATATTTTCTCTGAGATAAGTTGATACCTGCCTGAGACCTAGCGACTTCAATACCCAAGAAATATCGAAGCTTCGCCTAGATCTTTGGTCTGAAAATGTTTTTGTAGAAATTGTTTCAACCTAGCAATCTCATCTGCATTATCACCAGTGATTACAATATCATCTACATAAACTACAAGAACAACGTAATGTGCACCAATTTGTAGATGAAATACTGAATCATCTGTCATACACCTCTAAAGACCAAATTCCAAAACAACCTCAGAAACTTTCCAAACCATGCCCTTGGTGATTGCTTTAACCCATATAAAGCCTTTTTCAACTTACAAACATAGTTTTGGTACTCCCCCTGAGCAATAAACCAAGGCGGTTGCTCCATATAAACCTCTTTGTATAAGTCACAAAGAAGGAATGCATTTTTAATATTCAGTTGAAACAAAGGCCAACCAAGGTTAACAGCGATGGAAATCAAAACTCGAATAGAAGAGATCTTAGCAACTAGAGAGAGTGTTTCATCATAATCAATGCCATATGTTTATGTGTAACCTTTAGCAACCAGTCGAGCTATCAATCGATCAACAGTCCTATCAGGATTGAACTTCAGAACAAAGGCACATCTTTTACCAACAGGATGTATTCCAGCCGGTGAAGGAACGAGTTCCCAAGTCTTATTCTCATGTAAGGCTGTCATTTCTAATTCCATAGCCTTTCACCACTCGAGATCAGATAAAGCCTTTGTCACTGTCTTAGGGACAAAAACACTAGAATGACGGGATGTGAAACAAGAAAAAGATGGCGACAACGAATCAAAAGTAACGTAGTGGCTAATAGGATCTTTAGTGACACTAGTACATTTACCTTTACGGAGAGTAATGGACAATGATTCATGATCAGAACAGTTAACAGAGGCAGGATCTGTAGACGGCAAGGTGACGGATGGGGCCACAGATGTTGGTGGCTTAGGTCGTCGAGCATAAACCTGTAAAGGAGGTGGTGGTACTTTATAAGAGGAGGACAACTCGGTTGCAGTAGACTGAGCCGAGTCTAGTGCCGGAGAAATACCAACAGGGAGATATGGTACGGGTAAGATAACAGGGACTTGAGTGAATTCAGACGGTATACTTTGATCCGAGAAATAAGGTGTGGACTGGTCAAAAAGTGACATCTGCACTTACAAAATAGCGTTGTAGAGGACTATATCAGCGATACCCTTTTTGTTCTTAGGAGTAACCAAGAAGAATACATTTCATAGAGCGAGAGTTGAGTTTGTTACGACCAGAACAGAAATGATGAACATAACAAACACACCCAAAGACTCTGAGAGGTAACGAATATGGTGGAGAGGAGGAAGACAAAAGAGAGAAGGGAGATGCATCATCCAAAACGGAGGATGAGATGGTGGCCGGTGGAGAAGAGAGTATAGGTGCAGGTAATTTTTTGGAAGGGAAATAGCAAGATTGTTTAGAACTGGTGTGTCAGGAATTCGTCTGTAATCAAGGTTGACTTGGGGGGCGGATGGGATTTACATGAAGTAAGTTTGGATGAAAGGGCCCGAACATGAGAAGTTTGGTTGTAAGGGGGTTAAACTAGATGAACTATTTGGGGAGTTTTTAATTGTTTCCACATAAAGAGAAGGGTGTAGATATGATTATACACTTGGTGTGGAGATGGAAGTATGAAGTGACTAATCTTGTTTCATCTGATGTTGTGACGAGCTATTATTAGGTTGGAAATGCTACTAAAGTATTTTAACGTTTTTCCTATTTCTGCAAATTTGGCTGCTTTCATTTTGCCAATATCTAGTGGGTTTTGAGTCTAACAGATTTAGAATACTGTGTAAACTTCCACTATAATTCTTGGGGTTTCATTGCCTTTTTCCTTGTTCCTTCTTCGAAATATAGCTTCGATATAAATGCAATTTTTTGATGCTAGGTTTCTCATGATTAGTTTTGCCTTCCCTTCTGCAGGCGTTCATAATCCCTTCATGCACTATTGCAATCGGTACCAATCTCAGCTAGTTCATCTGCATTGGCAGATTCACAGCTGTTTCATTTCAAGTTCTTGGCCATATGAAAACCATCCTTGTATTAATTCTTGGGTTCTTATTTTTTGGAAAAGAGGGTCTCAATTTACAAGTAGTTATCGGCATGGTCATTGCCGTCGTTGGAATGATCTGGTATGGAAATGCCTCATCAAAACCAGGGGGAAAAGAAAGGCGCAGCCATTCATAAACTTCCAAAAGCAACCAGCAAAAACATGGAGGATTATTAGAACCTTCTGTTGTTGATGAGAAAGTAATATTAGTATACAAATGACAGCAGATACAGGAAAATTTTCAGGTTCCTACTCTGGATACACTTCCCATATCAAATTATTAGTGGAATCGTCTTGAGTTTTTTGTCTCTTGCAACTTTTTCTACTTAAAAATTTGAATTTGCTTACTGGGATGGATACTTTGGAACATTTAAGTGTGGTTTTCAAATTTTAGAAAGGCTATTTATAGGGATTAGGAATCACCTTGATTCTTACTATTTATAGGGATTAGGAATCACCTTGATTCTTACTGTTTGTCCCCTTGATCATATAATTATCATTAATTTGTTGTTAGTTTCCTCTTGGTTTTTATATCATAATTGTTACCTGAGGATTCATTTCTTCAACTTTCATAGGAAAAGAAAATCAAAGGAAGAAATGTAGTTGTAATCCATCGTGAGATTATACAATGAACCTCGACCTGAAGTCCTTTCGAATTTTATAAGAATCTTGAAACTGTTGCCATTATTCATTGTAGAAAGCATGTTAACCATGGCTGCCCCTTTCCTTTACTCTTGTATTTTTCATCCCAATTAGCACGATGAGTGATTATTATGGACATTTTGGATACTTTTCTAGGCTGATATGTCTTACATAGGGGGTGTGAGGCGGCTGGGATAGGATTATCTTTACTTAAATTTTATCGTTTTATCTCTTTAAAAATTTCCTAGCTGGGAATCTGGCTCCGGAGGCCTGAAACCACCTGTTTGAAACTTGTTCCTATGTTTCATTCCATTCATGTTTGCTAGTAAAGTGGTATGATTGGGTTGCTCATGCATTCTTCAAACATTTTTGCATCATCTACAGATTGCAGGCTTGGAATTGCAAGTTTATAGTATGGAATTGGAATTTTTAGCTATTATTTATTTCAGCTATAATATTAAAAACCAGCAAAAGGGAGAAGAATGCATTTTCAGCTATTATTTATTTAAATGTCAGTCGCCAATCTTCCTTTTGTGCCAAATTGGTTATTCACTTAAACTTTATTAAAATGACAAATGTAAGGTAGTTGACTACCTGTGTTCTTGCTACTCCATTAAAAATCTGCAAGCAACTTACAAAATGTTGGTTAAGAACGGTTTGCTTTAAAGTGAAGAAAAATATTAATAAAAAATGTGGGATTGTAAATACAGAAAATTCGTGCAAGAAAATTAAAAAGCACCAAAATAAAAAAGGGCCAAATTACATTTTGATTGAGTTCTTTGACCATAGGATTGCTACAAAATGAAGAATTGAAATGGATTCAACCATGTCAAGATCTTGGAAATTCTTCTTTCGCAAGGATGCTTGAACCGAAAATCAATTTCTAGCATGCTGAGAGTCCTTTCAGAAAGCAAAGTTTTTGAAATGGGAATCTTCATTTAGCCACACAAGAAACGGACGCCCAAAAAGCATCGAAACAATTTGAAGTTTAACCATTTGAAGTCGAGTCACCATTCAGGATCGAACAAATGTTAACGTTATGCACATATAATTGTCATTAGCAGAAATTTGAGCATAAACAGACATCAGCATTTGACCAATACGAAAATCATAGGATTCCAATAATTGTAGTGTTTTCAGACTTGCAATGAGGAACATAAAACATACTCAAAAAGTCTGTTATTTAAGGTTGTTTCAAATGGATATAGTACAGCCTAATTCCTTTGCAGCAGTATCAAGAAACATTATAGGCAGGCCAGTAGCCAGTAGACTATGAGCTTCCCACGTCAAACACTTTCCAATATCTGCTCGCCAGTCGCTAACGCCCACATTCAGATACTGATAAGGTGGACTGCTAATGCCATTTATATCCTCCTGTTTGCTGCTCGATTTTATTGAACTGGCATGTAGAATAGCTCGAAGAACTGATGTACTAAGAGCTCGAACATGAGCGCTTGGATGAGAAACACAGCGAACTGTAGCAGGTAGTCGACACTGCATATTTAAGTCCAGATAAACAAATAGTCAAGGCTTTTCAATCTGAAACCATAAGAATAATAGACTTGTGTTTAGCAACAGGAATCCTTGTGATTGTTGACGTCTCTAATAACTTGGATTTTTAGATGGAGGTGGTTGAGCATAATATCAGAGGTCCAGAATTCATCACCATCCATCTATGAAAATTGTGCACACGTCAAACCTTTGATTAAAATGAAAAATGAATCTGGCACACATAAGGGGATGTGTGAAGACTAGACTAAAATAAATAAATGTGTCCATCTTTTGCACCCTAAGCTATTTGACGAGGTGATTTAGCATCTTGCACTTATGGTGCATCACCTTCTCAGTGGGAAAACGAGATCGGAGATTCCACTGTACAAAATGTATAACAGCATGTGTTTGTGTGAGTATGTCAATGTATATATATCATACATGTATTTGCTCTTTAAAGTCTTGCATCATTATAGTTTACAGCACATTTTCAATACAAGAATGTCATCTTGTACTAACGTAATATTTCCTTTATTTTCTTTCTTGTGTGTGCGCGTGTAAGGCTGGGAAAGATAATGGGGAGGGTGATGATTGAACACAGTATAAAACCTGCATAGAGGAACCCTCTCCAACTCAGAGAACTCCTTGGTTGCGAGTCAACTGAAGTTTCTTTTCTTAAATGTACCGACATAATATAGTGAAGCATGTAAATAAGCAAGGTTTTTATACCTTCAACAGGTTTGAAAGGCCATCTGCGACTGCCAATCCTGAATCTCCCCACTCGAACACTGGTTGAACTGCTCTAGCGGTTACTTCCAACAGCTATCCAACATTTTGTGGTGCAAGGACGTGAATATATCATAAAAACAAATATGATACAGAAATTCATCAGCTCGGTTTGTTTGGCAAATTTTGAAAATAGGTAAAGTTACATCTCAGTAACTTTTTGTTTCCAAACAAGCTTGGATAACTTACTTTTTTAAGTGAAAAAAGTATTATTTATATAAACTTAACTATTTACTTATAAAAGAATGTGTTGGTTAACTTTTTAAACATTCTCTTAATGTCAAAAGAGAAGTAAATATTTTTGAAAAACACATCACTAGAATAGAAGAAACGAGAGCACTTGAAGGGTCAGATTGGTGGAAAGACAGATTTAACGGCGAATGAAAGAGTGGAAAATGGGGATGTTACTAGACTAGTAGACTAAAATCCAAAAATTTTACCTCCAGCTGTGGTAAAGTGCATGCTTCTCCATCAACAAGCATCCCGTCTGTGGCCCGTAGGAGGAGGTCGGATGCGCTCGCAAGTATTACCAAAGATTCCGGTGCTTCGTGGTTTCTCATTAACTCCACAATCACTTTTACGATTCTTTGGTTGATCCTCCACATCTTTTGACCAAGATCATCATCTTTAGCAATCCATGGCTTCAATTCCCTCTCCGCCTGACAAATACATTGTGGCAAAGAAAGTGACTAAACAAATGATAGCAACTAAAATTAAAATAAAGCTGGAATATGAATTCATTGCTCGGAAACCTGATATAATTCAGTTAGGTCATTCCTAATTATTCTATGTAGAAAAAGAAAGAATACTGATTTGTCAGTGACTCAGTGGCAATTCCAGAATTAGAAATCTATTTTTGGAAGTTCTGTTTCTAGAGGAAATTTAATTCACGAATGAGTAATTCAAGAAAAATAAAATCTGGACCTGAAGAACAACAGCTGTTGCTGCTTTTGCCGGTGATGCTGATACTACATTACAGAGTGCATCAACCACCTGTAATTATGTACAGAAGATAATCAAAAGAGCAATAAACTTATAATTCTTTCAATGGATTATAGCATAAAAACCATGTATTCATCAGTTAGTTTTCTAGCTGGGTATTACTTGCAACTAAAACTCGAAAACAATAAGAGTGTTCGGTGTGTAGTGCTGTGAAGGAAGGACTGGACAGTACACGAGACCAGATTTTAAATTCTTGTTCTTTATTAATATTGTCTGGTAGTATCCAATCTACTTTACCAAACATGTTACAGATCTGGTTTCAAATGGAAACATCATCTGAGAATGTATAAGCCATCTGATCATAACATCTAGTTGCCATCTTGATAATTGGGTTTCTATTTTTTCATGGGAAAATAGTCGTAAGTCCCGAGTTTCTTATGTACATGATCTATTATTTTTAAAATTCTCAACATATTTCGAGAAGATCGTTTAATAAGATTACACTAGAAATAAACAAAAACTTGCTAATTTTAATTTTTCAAGTATGGCCTAAAATAAACATAGGACTACTTGCAAAAACTTCCATTTCAGACATTAAAACTAATTATCCCAAGGCAAAAACAGAATGACCAAGACAAAATTCTCCAGAGTTTAAAAAAAAAAGAGAGAAATAACAGCATATGCAACAAAGGAACAAGGAATCTTCTATAATCAATATATGCCAGTGGGCTTGAGTAACAGAATCATAGAGCTGTCAGCAGTCTTTCTTTCTTCTGTTTGGGCACTGCATTGAGTGTTCATTGATGAGATTGGATATTTCTCCTTTTGTAGTCTTTATTATTTCTTATAGATGGATCTTTCATGCTAGCCATACACACTCCTTTTTCTTTCTTTCATTTTTTCCCTTTTGGTTAATAAATCCTCCATTTGTGCATAAAAACAGAAATGAGATATACAACCTGTTCCACCTTTGCCAGGATTTTGTAAATTATAAAAGCTTATAATGTCGTTAATAACCATGACACGTTAAAGAGTGAGTTGGGCACGTTACCTGCCTCCATCCTTGCTGTGCAGAAGTACTTTCAGCACTCGGTTGTGTTTCAGGTGATGCAATCAATTTTTGCCAAAGCAATGAAACGACCGAAAAACATAATTCTTGTCTCTCTGTTAGGACACACCTAAGAACTTGCACGCTGCAACTAAAACCTATATGCCTGTCCATTGTCAAAAAGTTTGCCAAATCTGAAGCATCTATTGGGAAACTCGCAATTCCTTTGCCCGTTATACACCTGTCAACCTCAGCGGAGTTGGAAGACTTCTCACATTTCATTAGATTTGCTGTACAAGGCAAGTTTTCACACTGCAGTCTACAGTTAGTACTTGTAGTATGTTTTTTCCCATCAAAACACGAAGGTGTGTCCTTCCAAACAGGTGTGTGCAGTAGGTGTGCTTCTAATGGTTCTGCTTTATTGACAATGGATGCAACAGCCTTGCTATGAATATCAATGAGGTTGAAAAGGGAAGATGCCCGAGAGGAAATTCTATTATCCCACTTGCATCTTATCAAGGTGGAAAGAGCATTCATGCAAGCCTTTGAACATCTAAAAAGATCTGAAACATGAGCTGCAACCATAGCAGCAGCCACTATTTCATTTGAACTGTAACTCCATGACGTGCTTATAGAAGATGGCTTCAAAGAAAAAAGTGTCTCTAGAATTGTCAATAATCGACGTGTGTGATAAACAGCAGAGTCAATACCATTTCGTAACTCACTGGGTGGATCATTTACTTTTGCAGGTTTAGCTACGTCACATCTGGCACCTAAATGATTGCCCCCTTTAGAAATCAAGGGGAAGAGCTGAAGTTCACAGGATAGTGCACAAACTGCAGCAATAACATAAGAATCAAATGCAGCAACGGGCCCCGGTTTTTTCGCTCGTTTATTTGCCATGTCTCCTTGTTTTCTGGTGGCTTCTTGTAAGTCGTCCATTAGTTCTTCAGAAATGTTTCGATCTTCACCTTTAGGTCGCTTTCTTCCGCTCAGCTGTGCTTCATGACTGACACAGACAGTTAACACTATGAAAAGAAGCCGAGAGGCAAGCTCTACAGAGGCATATGACTCCAAAAATAGCGAGTGAACCATCGTACGGAGCTCAGCCACCGCAAGATTCTTGGATGCAGACCCAAATTCGTATCTTGTTTTTCTGATTTGTTCTCTAGAAGACTCGTGTGGAAACGTCCTCTGAAGAATTGCTTCAACAGTGGCAGCAAATATCTTCATGAGACATGTTTCAGAAGGGCTTCCGCGAGGAAGATACTCAAGTACTTTAAGAAGCGGAATATACAAATTCCATGATAATATAGGAGTCTGTAAAGGTGTTGCGACAATGATTTCAGGAAGATCAATGGCAGAGGAACATAGAGGAATCAAGCCATAAGCAGCTTCCCATATGGTACATATTCTCCATTCAACTTCGGGGCCGTGGGCACAAAGCATTGATGCAATCCCTTGGGCAGTAGCTTCAGTTGTAGCTTCCATTGCAGGTACTTCTTTCTGTTCAAAATATTTTCAATGTGAAAAAAAAAATGTGTAGTAAGCAGAGATTTCATTACGAGCATTAAAAGAATATTGAAGATGAAACTACCTGCTTACGTTCACATGAAATGTAACCGCCCAGTGGTTCATGTTGAACTTCTACACCATCAACGTGTCTCAATGGAGGAAACAACAAAGCAGGTTGAGAAAGTATTCGGAAAAGCAAAGCAGCTGCAGCATCTGCAGCAATTCCTGCTCTCATTGACATTGCAATCCCAATTGCACGCAAGAAATGCAAATGCATCCAGTTTCTTGGAAGCTTCACCAAAAGTCCAAAAAATTAGGATTTCTATGTAGTGAATCAAAATCATTACTTCACTATTAACTCTCACATGAACAAAAGTTTGATATATAGGTTCGTCACATGGTTACCTTTGACAAATAAAGACATCAGAAAATGTCAAAGCAATATATATTCAGGAAATTATGAATTAGAACATATTGGAGGTAACATTTCTACTATTGTATTATAAGAAATACAGATTAAAAAAAAAAGGAAAATGTTTCCATAACCAGACCGGCAATCTGCAATATAAGCAATATTGGTTTGCATAGATGGATTCACTAATCTGAAAGAAAGACAAGTGCAGTGGGCTTAAACCAGTACAAAATACGGAATTACAGAAAACCAATCTATGTAGAAGTTACATTTATTAATATAGAAACCAATAAAACCACTCGTTGTCATCTTCCCTCATGAAATTTTTTGCATTCTCTTAACTTTTCTCATTTAGAATCTTTTCAGCATCAAACGACTTGCTGAATACAAAGGTGAAGCCACAGTACTCTTTTAGTCAGACGATAATGGAAAAACAAATCCATATTCTTCATCATTGTAGGAGCCATAACACCAACTCGAGCATAACTGAACAACCAAACCAAATGAATGCAAATTCTAAATACCAAATCCATATTAACTATACCTAAATGCCAAATTCAAATTATCAGGATGCAAATGCTAATTTCCAAATCGACAATATGTGGAGGCAACGCCAAACAAGTTCCAAAACACCCATATAAATAGGAAAATGTTTCCATAACCAGACCGTCAATCTGCAATATAAGCAATTATTAAGATTTGGGGGTCCATCTTAAAAGTTCAACCTCGTTAAGAGGAGTAGCCCATGATCTTTATTAATTGGTCTGTGCTTACATCATTATTCGATGTGAGATTTATATCCCTAACAGCAATATTGGTTTGCATAGATGGATTCACTAATCTGAAAGAAAGACAAGTGCAGTGGGCTTAAACCAGTACAAAATACGGAATTACAGAAAACCAATCTATATAGAAGTTACATTTATTAATATAGAAACCAATAAAACCACTTGTTGTCAAATTTTTTGCATTCTCTAACTTTTCTCATTTAGAATCTTTTCAGCATCAAACGACTTGCTGAATACAAAGGTGAAGCCACAGTACTCTTTTAGTCAGACGATAATGGAAACTTGCTACTCCTTTAAACTTGGTTCTTGTTGGGAAATTTCCCACAGTAGAGACTCTTGTGGAGAGATTAAGAACGTTTTTGTATCACTCATGTCCGTACCGATCTCTTGACTGCAGGAATATGATCATTCATCTCATTCTTGAAGAGGACTTTTCACCGTGTTTATGGAATTACATTTTATAGGAAATATGTTAGATAAGAAATTTTACATGGACAACCGATTTCAGACAGAACACGAAATCTTATTTGCCTACAATTTGGCTATGCTGTAATGGACATCTTGTCCATCTCCTTGGTAAATGAAGCCCTTTTTCTACTGTTTAGAATGTTCGGGAGCATCATGAGAGGCCTTGTTTCACCGCACTCACAAGCAATGAAGGCAACAATGTAATGAGTCAACATCCAGTGATATTAGACGGGTTACATAGGGACAAAAAAAACTCTCCCCCTTCCAAAAAAAAAAAAAGAATAATAACAATAATGGACTGAGAAACAAAAAACCAACTGACAACTTGAATTCCACTTACAAAGGGAAAAGAAAATTTTACAGAGGCTTAAAGTCAACTCATTTCTCTTCTTAACTTTCATCTCAACCTATCAATATTGGGATGATCCAAGTCTGTCTTCCTAAAAATATTCTCCACTTCCCTTTATCACAAACATTTTATATTGAGACGGCATATTAAACAGAACTGTCTTCCTATTTAAATCCTTTCGGGTTTTATAAGAGCCATTAAAATCAACCACAGGAAAAGTACTAGCATCTCACAGTTTCATCATGTATCCAAAAGAACAAGAAGATTACAGGGAACCCAAGAAACAAGTCCTCTCTCATCTCTTCTCCAGCCCCAGTCCCCTTCCAGGTCCAACAAAAGATAGAAAAATTAGAAAAGAAAATAATGATGCATAAACTATTTTCTACCACCTCTCACAGATTGCTTGAGGATTAGAGCTGAGGCCAAAATATAACGCTGATGAGATTGAAAATATTTTAGCAGCAGCCGACTACTACTAAGTCTTAAAACTTCAGAAATGCTGGTAATTTCAATTCTTTCTACATTCCATTGTACAGCGGTAAATAAAAGAGAGAAGTAAAACAATTTTAAAAAAGTTCTTCATGAATGACTTGCATGGCAAACCCCACAGGAAATGAAAATGCAGTAGCTGTACATTATATACTAGCTTATTTGAGTCTTATTTGATCTGGATTCATCTAACAGGTATAAATTATCACTGGACATAATAAACAAATATTTGTTGCATTTGGGATTCCAGCAGCATTAGGCGACTCAGATTACCAGTCAAAATAAGAGTTGCCTAGCATTTCGCTATCTTGATTCTAAGCTAGAAGTCTAATAGGCTATGTTGCTTGGACTAGGGTGTGGGTGTCAATGTAGGTATATATTTAGGAGTGGGATATTTTTTCTTTTCTAAAATCTAGGATGAGGGGATAAGGATAAAAGGATCTAAAATTTGGACACACATACATGGATACTATTATATGAAATAGATTACAAAGAGACTAGAATGCCCTAGAACGTAACCCTATCGATAAAAAGACTTGAATTCCCTTGATAAAGAAGGCTAAGTTACTATAGTCTCTAACACCCCTGGTCAAATTACGATGCTAAACGTTTTGATATTGCCAAAAATTAAAACAAAAAAGACTCATGCATGACTTTATGCAATCTCCAATTGTCCATTATGTCAGGGTTCATGAGCCAAACTTGTTGTAAACCAGCTGTACAATGTAAGGTTTGCCGCTCCCCTTATATGTCAGGGCTAAGAGTTACTCAACACTCACCTCCACACAAGGTTAAAGTGCATCAATATTTAAAAAGGAGTAATCGGGTACTAAGGCTTCTTCCCTTCCTAAAGCCATGAGTAAGCCTCGAGGCATTTTGAAGCGTAAGGCTCATTAAACAAAAAAAAATGTCAAAAATTTATTAAAATGCAAAATAAGCTCATAATACATAATAAAAATATTCAAAATTCATAATAGAACAATTTAAAGTGTCCAAACAAACCAAAGAAAATCTATAAAGAAACTATTACTTTAGTTGGCTGACGTGGACAGTGGATTATACCCAAAATGGGTCTCCGAGAAACAAAGTTTTAATGTTTTTGTAGGTAATGTACTATTCTTTAAATGGATTAATTAAATTTTTATGTTTTGTAGGCTACAAACTTTGGAACGGTGCTCTGAGGCATGTACCTCACACAACTGAAGCGTATACCTTAAAAAACTGTCTCACAATTAGCGTCTTGAGGTTTCACACCTCATTATGAGGGAGGCCTTAAGACAGGTTTCAATTGGATTTTTTAAAACTATGATTAGCACGTGACTAGACCATAAGCCTAAATCGGCATTATCATTACAAGCTTAACAATACGAAGGTTTCCAAAAACAAATCCATATTCTTCGTCATTGTAGGAGCCATAACACCAACTCGAGCATAACCGAACAACCAAACCAAATGAATGCAAATTCTAAATACCAAATCCATATTAACTATACCTAAATGCCAAATTCAAATTATCAGGATGCAAATGCTAATTTCCAAATTGACAATATGTGGAGGCAACACCAAACAAGTTCCAAAACACCCATAAACTAAGACGGCCCCAGAAACAATAGCCCAAAAGTTACTAAACTAATCTGAGACCCAAATCCAAATATTTCATGGCAGCAATTTAAGGTCCAAAAATCGATTAACACAAATGGGAGACTAAATTCAATAACAATCTTCAGGCACAACAATCACCAGCCACACCAAGTTAACCATGCCGTTAAACAGTTTACTTCACTTCAAGGTTTAGTCTAGCTACAACCTCAGAAAAGAAATTATCAACTTAAGCCCACAAGCACCGCAATTACTAATTTTCTATCACCTGCATTTTCTTATAGCTTTAATTTTTTCTTTATTCTTTTTATCTCCCTCACCCTCCTTCCTATACAACATAAAATCTGATCAGTGGAATACTTAGGATTCAGGGTCCGCTTAGTAGGGCTTTTGAAAAAGTTAAAAGCTACTTTTCAGACTAAGAAGCTCTTCTGGACCTAATAATTTCTTGAAGTGTTTTTCCTAGTTAGTAGCGTTTAAAGGAAGTTGATCCAAGACTTCCTCAAGTAGCTCTACAAGCACAAGCAGAAACCTGCCAAAAGTGCCCTTAAACCAAAACCTTAAGCAAGCACTATTTAACTCATTTTCCATAACTATGAACACCTGTGAAACTCCATTCTACCATCATACATTGCTTAACTGAGGTGAAATAAATAACTGAAGCCATATGTTTTGATAGAAGACTTCACTGGAAGAAAGGAGAAGAATCGGAAGCCCTACAAAACTGTTTCGTGATTGTTTTCATTGGCCAGTGACAAAATTAGCAGAACCATGAACAAAGATCACTTGACCACAAACTGTAATTCCAACCACAGGACTGGATCTTCACTTTAGTAGAAGCTGGTGAAGGCCAATAGCATCAAACCACAAAGCAAACAATTAAGGGTTGAATGCCACCAACAGTAAAGCTCTCTGTCACTAAATCAAAAGTCCCAAATTCAATCAAAGTGGCCAAAGAACAAATTGAAAGACCAGAACCAGTAGTTTCTAAATAAAACGAAATCAGCCCAAAAGACCCAGCTAAAATCAAACACATAACATCTAGGGTAACTAGCAAAAGTCGACTGCAGCAGCAACTCGAAACCCAGCAATCAGAGCAAAAGGTGGCACAATCACAAGCAAAGGCTGAAAGAGGACAGAGCCTTTACACCATGATTTGATGGCAAAACCACTAATTCAAAACATCCAAAAGTCACAATCAGAAAATAACCAAAGCTAGACAACTCCAAGGGCCGAGAAAAACTAGTGACCAATAAACAGAAAAACTCCTAATAAGAACGCTGCAGATCAATCAAGGAACTAGTTAATAAAGACAATAGGAGGAAGTGATCCGCCACCACAAGAGATTTGACAATACTAAAACAAATACTAGGGGACAAAAAAGGTCAAAAACATAAAAAAAAAACCAAGAGAATATATTGCAAAACAACTTGGACCAACAAGGATCTAAAAGAAACCAAAAAAAAAAAAAAAAATTTTTGACCGGATGAGGGGCACAGCCACTCGCCAAAGAACCAAAGCGATTACAGTGATGTTTGGGTAGATAAAAAGGTGTAGACCTCTTAAAACCATAGCCACACTGAACTAGTTATGTAGCTCTGTGCATAATCATTCATGGGGAAGGCCATATGTTTATATTCTCAAGTCTTCTCAATACTACTAACTACTCTTTTTACAGAAAACGTTTGTCTCATTAAAAAAATAATAAGAAGAAGAAAAAGGATGCAAATTACCCTTGTTCCTGAGGTAAAATCTTCTGCTGCGCGAAGGAGTTCCACAAGTTGTACAGCAGCATCAAGTGCATCAGGAGCCCAGGACGGTGGAGCTTCTAGAAGTCCAAGGAGCAGCCTTTGGGTGGCACTTGGACTAGCAATTGCATAATACCTGAGTAAAAGGAATATGTTTACATGGTGATTGAACCAGTGATGTTTCTAAAAAGTTTTTAATCGTCTTATCTAAAAGCTTAAAGCTTAAGCAGTTAAAGAGGGGCAACATATACTCATGTAAATCGCGGATTCAATGCACCCCCTCACATGTAGAACGAATTCATTTTTCATCAATGGTTTGACACACAATTTTCATATATGGATGATGGCAAGACTTGAATCTAGGTATTTTGTCTGCCTTTGATGTTAACTACCCCATCTTTCCTGCTAAAGCTTCTAGAGAGGGGTCGCATGCATTCATTTATATCTCCTTCAACAAAAGTTTGAGTCACAAACTTACCGATGAAACAAGCGTGCATATGGCTCAAGAGCTGGTAGACCAGCTACAAGATGCTCATCCATAGGCGTTGTTGGGGGAGGAAGCAGAAGTGCGGGAACAGCAGCAGCAGTCAACGTAGCAGACTCATAACGAGCTACTTCCTCATCACATACGCTTAATATAACCCCAGCACCATTGGCAACAGCCCACCGTGGAGTTGATGGCATTAGCTGAGGATGCTTTCCAGATCCACGAGAAGATGCTAAGATAATACTTGAGTTAACAAAAGTCATCCTTGTTTCAAAATATAAACATTCTTCTCATTTTTGTAATACCCTCAAAAGAAGACACTTCGGGAATAAGCAGACAAACAATTAGCATCAAATATATATGTCTACCAGTTTAATCTAGCAATTATTAGATTAAGTATAGATAGCTGTGTTTTTTCAGGTTTCAATTAAGATAATTAAGAGGATTCAAATTAAATTATTTAGTGTCCAAAAATGCAATTGTAAAATCTCCATCAAAAGTCCTGTGTACACAGAATCGAGTCCACTGTGACTTGCTGCATTAACATTAGTCGGTACGATCAACCAAGTTGAGCTGATTGAGACCTAATATTAATAGTGCCTTACCATTTATAGGTTAATAGAATAATAAGCTGCCATTATGAGAACCCAACAGGCAACAACAAAAATGAAAAGGAAAAACAATTTAGTAGTTTGATGAATAATGATCAAAAAACTATGACAGTTGAGTTGCTTAATTGGAAAAAAAAACCTCTGAAGTGATTTAGGCTTTGTGCCAAATTTCATAAATTTTACATAACTAAGCAAGAAAAGGGTGCCCAAATAAAACTCAATATCCAAACAGGTTTTCCCCAGAAACCAGTGAATTTTAATGCGAAACTTTCCAGCTTAACTGAATTTACTGATGGGTTTGATACGTAAGTCTCCAGCTTAAGTGAATTTTACTCGTGAGGACCAAGGATGAATTGAGCGGTGTTACAATTTGTCAACATTGTATCTTTCCCATGCACAGACAATCCAAATAGTATATGATTTAAGGCCATAAAAGTCTCTTCAAAACTGCTGAAAATAACATTTTTTATACCACAAATAGACCACCCATGCATATCACCAATTCAGGTTTATGACAATTACAATGAGACTGTCTGCCAACTAGCGGGGCAAGATGGGTTGGAAGTGGAGAAGAGGCAGGAGCATTAGGAGTTTGGGTGTAGAAATGGGGCTAAAGGGAGGGGTTGGGGACAAGGTTGAAGGGACAACTTGGGAGGGGGAGGGGGAGGGAGTAGGGATGGAGGGGTAAGGGCGAAGGAAGTGGGGGTGTGACAGGCCTGACAGGGCCCTGATGGAGATGCAGATGGGGAGGAGGTCTAATGAGGGGTTGGAAGAGTAGGGGAGATGGGAGTGGGGGATGGGGGTGGGGGTGGGGAAGAAAGATGGTGGTTTTTCTCTTAAAACTTTTTGCTTTTATTTTTGCTGTTTAATTAAAATTGAGGTGTAAAGGTCATTTATATCATATATTCCTCGTCATGTGAAATGCACATGACATTTTAACGACTTCTAAATGAAATTATGGGGACCAAAGTGCCAAGAAAATTGAAGGCTGGGAATCCAAATTGCCATGAAAGAATTGAAAGGGGATCCAAAAGCTCATTTAACTATAGAATGGGGACTGGCAATACAATTTTCTCTTCTTTCTGCTAAGATATTATATACCCTATACGGTATTGTTTGGTTCGCTGGATTGAATAGGATATAAACAAGACAACTAATACACTACAAGTTGCTTTAAAGATTTTCTGTTCTATCAAGTTTTGAAACCAAGAATATTGAAAAGATAGTGTACTATCTAATAAACTAATGAAAAGGATGCATCAGAAAAATTGATTTAATTATGAAGAAAAAGCCAAAAGGTCTATGAAAACAAAAATTCACTTAGCCCCTGTTTGAGTCACATTAAAAATTTCATTCTTATTCTTCTACTCATTTTCAACCACACATTCTTCAATACAATAATATTTTCCATCACATCAATAACTTTTCCTTATTTTTCAACTACACATTCTTCATCAATTTACTATTCCAAAATACATTCTTTCAAAATAATGTGGCTCAAACACACCCTTAATTATCAGATGAAGGATTATTACAGAATACACAAACTTCTTCAAAATCAATCAACTAATTTACCACAACAGGAGTTAACACATTGACAAGTTTTTGTTCAAAGATTATAACTGTACATTTATTTAGAAAACTGAAATCAAATTTTAAGCACCCTTTTTATTATTCTTACATTGAAAATTCCAAAATTTTTATCGTGCATTCAGTATAGTACAACTGAAGTTAGTGCATATAGCATTCTGTACTATTCATGAATGTCAAGGAACATCAGCAACTAGTAGAAAACATTATAGAATAGAAACTCAACTGACCAATCGAAGGAGGCTTCAGTTCTCCAGCCGCATATTTTCCCATGACACCTCCACACCTATGATGCATGAAATATTTCTTGAAGTTCAGGAAAATCACCAAAAGTCAGGTGAATGCAGTATTGAAAGTTCATGCATCTGATCAGTTCTCTAAAATATGATTTCAGTTAAAGCAAAAAGAAAGACACAATCATTAATGATAATATCCAAATTAACTTTTTACATTGTTCCAATAGCATAGAAAGCTATTGGTTTGTAATCTATGTGCTTAAAAGATGCAGGTTTCTTTTGAATGAAATCTTAAGCCACAGCAAAAACACGACCAACCTTTTGTGTGGTTCTATACCGGGAAGCAAAAAACCACAACACCAAAAACTAAACCTTATTTCCAATAATTTTATGGTCCAACTATGCCACCCCATTCTGTTCATTGTTATGTCTATTGAAAGATCCAAAGCAACTAGATTCTTCGCAAACACAACATGCTATGATAGTTTTGGACTATCCCTCCCTTTCCTAACATATTCTAGAGATATTGCATACTCTTATGAACAGGTACATCGTTAGGTCTATGCAAGACATATCCCAAAAACCCAGGTCATCTTCCCTTAATTTATCATCATTGGGTGCAACCTCTACTTGTTAGCGTATTTCTCATTTCTTACTTTATTCATACTAGTAAGAACGCCCATCTATCTTCGCATCCTCGTTTTCTCTATGCTCATCTTATGGGCATCTATTCATGAATTTTATCTCCAGAAACCACAACCAATGTACTAATGTGGATCTTGATCCAAATACTACATTTTCTTGGAAATCTCATTGCACCATTTCAAGTTTCTGATAAATTTATTGATAGTGACATGTAAAGAAGTCTGTATCTAGACTATTAAATTTTCTTCTGAGTACCAGTCACATTTCCATTTAATGTGTACAACTTCTACAGCCCCTCATTTGGAGATATCCTATATTGGACTATCAATTGTTGTGCAATTGCAGAATCTATCACATTAGTTTACACATAATATTTGACTGTAAATTGTCCTAAGATGACTCTTAACTCTGGTTGAGATGACAAAAGAAGTACAATAGACTTGTATTTTATTGTTTATTATGTTTATCCATTGCAACAAAGTACCAACACTCAGTTTATCTCCACCCGCTAGTTTTAATTGTCACGAATCTGAAAACACGAGCTTATGAAAAAGTGCAAGATTTGAAGTAACCATGATGATCAATCACTTAGTTTTATATGATGAACCCGCATAGTTTTTTCAAGCATGAAGCATTTCTATAGAGTGGTTCATAAAATCCCATTTTCTATACCGATACAATAAGTTTTCCAGTAAATAGCAGCAAATTCTCAATATTTCATTTCATTTGCAAATAAATCCTCAACCTCTTTTTCTTGAACAACTGTGTCCCCAACCTTCGGGAAATTAGCACCATCCATCCAAATGGATGAATTCCTTCCATTTCATCATTATTCAACTCATTTGACCAACAAATTACAAAATCTAAAAAGGACAAAGTGGCGTTCCATTATTCTAAATTAAAACATTAAAAAGAAAAGAAAATGAAACAAAATGAAAATTCAGATAAAAAAACACTACTCATCTTTCTCTACCCCACCTCCACCTCTTCCTACACCTCCACTGGATATCCTTAATGGAGGTTAAAGTTTTTGTTTCCATTACATACGTTGCAGGAATTGAAAATAAACATACTTCAGAGTGTGGTAAATTCTTGAAAAAAGGAAGCTCTTCTTATGGAGCATTGAATCATGTCCCTATTTTATTTTTCGTGACTGAAATGGATTTTACTGGAATTTTGTTAGTTCTGAAATTTTCCTTGTTTTTCTTTACAGTATCTTCTAAAACAGAAACAATTCACATGGTTCGTTGTCAAAATGTTGAATTGTAAATTTTTCTTTACCTAGTTTGAGCATCTTCATTTTGTGGATTGTCCTAATTTTGTGATTAGACAAGGAACATATTGCAAGCACATTAAGCCCTTGTTTGAGCACCATTTTTTTCATCGAAATGTATTCTTAAACAGTGATTTGACTCCATTTCAACCACACATTTTTTAATAAAATAAAATAACACACAAACCCAAAATTTTTCCTTATTTTTTAATCACACATTCTCCATTATAACACTATTAAAAAATGCATTTTTTTGAGAAAAATGGGGCTCAAACAAGCCCTAAGCAAATGTAGAGGGGCGGCAGATTGGCAGTGTGGTATAGTGGGATAGGTAGGTACTAGTTACGGGGTGGGGGCGGAGAAGATAAATAATTTTTTTTTTATTTTCGCTTTTTTTTTTTTTCATTTTATTTTATTTTTTAATATTTTAATTTAGAATAATGGACTACCTTTTTGTCCTTTTCAATTTTTGAATTTTATGGTCGACTGGATTGACAAGCGTTGAAATAGATGGAATTCATATATTTGAATGAATGACACTAATTTCCAAATGTTGGGGACACAGTTATCCAAAAAAAGGTTGGGAACGGATTTGCAAATGAAACGAAAAGTTGGGGACTTTTGTTGCTATTTACCCTAAGTTTTAAAACTCCGAAATCTTTGGGTAGAAAAGATTAAAAAGTATAGTAAGTATAATTTCTTGACAAGAATATTCAACAAATATGAAAGCTTCATGTCATAAAAGTTTAGCTTACTTACCAGCGGAAGTAATCACTTCTAATTTCTAGAGGTGCTGCAAGCAATATATCAGTAATCCAGGGAGACAGTGGCCTCATAGTTTTTCTTTCTTGTTGTACAGAAGGCAAAGAAGGTTCTCCATCCATTAGTTTACTTGTTGAAGCATGTTTCACCCCACTAATTCTATCCGCTTCATTATCGTGACGTTCAATGTTGTAAATTGGGCGGTTGTAATGAGTCAAAATTCTTAAGATCTCTCCACATGCAAGTGCCCAATTCTCAGAATACTCATTCTGTAATTCAATATTGAATCATTAATCTAATATTGAGTAACTAAGTGGAATTGGCACATTTCACAAAATTAATAATCTTTTGAAGATGCTACTTCTGAAAGGTTTTAAATGACAAGGGAAGAAGAAATCTTGTAAATCCATGATATGATAAGGAAAAGAGAAAATGCAGAATCATAAGTTGATTTCGCATTCTAATACCTCACTGCTGGGGCAGACCAAGGAGATGAAAGATGCGAATGGGTGACCACTCCCATTGTATTCTAGAGTACCATCAATAATACATGAAATAATAGGAAGAATAACAGCATGACCATGTTCTGGATGGTAGAGAACAAATGTTGCTGGAAAACAAAACAAACACACGAGTTATGTTGCTGCACGAGCAAGACTTGAAACATTACATTTTTGAGAGGGTTAAATAAACCAATGGGCGTTAAATTTTGTCGAAATTTCAAGATTGGTCACTAAACATCAATCTGTTCCAGCTTGGTCAAACTGAATTTGTTTCAAGTTGGTCACTTTATCCAATGTTTGTTAGTGACAAACGGAAAAGGTAACGTGGCAGTCTAGATATTTGCATTTTTATCGAAATTTCATGTTTGGTCACTAACCTTGCAATTTGTTCCGGGATGGTAACCAAACTTAATTTTGTTTCAAGTTGGTCACTATGTCCAATGTTTGTTAGTTTGGCTAATGGAAATGGTGATATGGCAATCTAGTTATTTGCCAACTAGACTGCCACGTTAATTTTTCCGTTAGTTAAACTAACTGGTAACCAGTGTTTAAATTTAGTGACCAACTTGAAATTAACCAACATGAAACAAAATGGACTTCAGTCACTAAAATGAAATTTTACTAAAAATTCATTTGAGATGATGACATGAACTGATATCGATCCTATATGGTCAATAACAGTATCAAGTACCTAAAACTTCATCAAAAAGTCGGTTTTCCTTGGATGGATATTGGCTTCGGATCAGCTGCAAGACCAATAAACGTTACAAGTAAGAAACATTTATTAACAAGTATGTGGCAGTTCAAAAAGAACTACCTAAATATGGAAATTGGAAGTACAAATAAAAGGTTTCCTCAAGGCAGTTCAAAGTAAAGCATAAATAAAATACCTCTGCTATGTCATCAGGAAATTGTTCTGATGTGAATTGACCAAAATACTCGACATAGGCAGTAATTTCAGCCTGATACAAATAAAAAAACTGTTATAAATATCCAAAGTATAAATGTGTAATAGCTAAAATGAAGCAATTTAAATATCAGAACTTACATAAACAAAATATAGTTGTAAAAAGGTAAAACGATAAGTCTTATAAACAAGTTTGCTTATAGCTAAAAGGAAGTAATCTAAAAACAGAACTTGCACATAGACACATACAGTAGAAAGTCCAAAATTGCACATGGCTGTAAACAGGTTTGTCTTGGATTTATGCATAAGACAAGGATTTTTCAATTACACAGATTATTCATTATTGAATACAAAGTTATTGAGATTACCTTCTCCTATTCTTCTCATTTCTTCTCCTATACTCTCTTCTTCTCCTTCATATTTTGTTGTTCTACATTTTGTGCTACATGAGATGGTTTGTAGTATCATACTATGGAAAAGACTTTTCACGTCTCACAGTTACCCATTTACAAAAAACTGTCACCGGCCAGGCCTTTTAAAATTCAGTTTGCACGCGAGATGATATGTTTAGAACAACATTTAAATAAATACACGTGTCCCCTCTCTAACTGCTTAAACTTTTAGATAATGTGGATCAACATAGTTAGAGCCAAGCAAAAGATCTAAATCCAAATATCGCCGCAGCCAATTATGAAAAATGTCACATGTTAAAGCCTTTGATGAATCGAGCTCACACGTAAAGGTGAGGGCATGTATAGAAGACAATATTTACATACATAAATGTTTCCTCTATTTAGCAGCTTAGATAGATGGTTAACACAATATGACAGCTAAGCAAAAATATGAGTTCTATCTTCACCTATTTATAAACAATGTTACATGTAAGGCCATAAAATTCTGGTGGGCACATGAGGAGTCATGTTGAAGGCAACATTGACGGATGGTTCAACAGAAACTAACTATTGTGGGCATCCCCTCACTTTACCTTGCGAATTAAACTCCGAAATGCTGAAATTTTCAAATTAGTACGTGTGAAATCCTTGGCCCTAATGGTGAATGCGTGAGTCAATTTCCACTTACCCTTTCTCATATTGACACAAAGGAAGCCAACTGATTATTTAAATAAATGTGTCCCCTATCTAACAATTTAAACTTTTAGATGGGACAGTTCAATGAGAATTAACCATTGTGGGCCTTCCCCCCCTCACTTTACCATGTGGATTGAACTCTGAAAAGCTAAAAAATTTCATAACAATACGTGTAGAATACTTACCCCACGGGCCCCAATGGTAAATGTGTGTGTCAACTTCCCTTACCAATCCTGACCAAAAGGGAAGCCAATCAAGCATCCTTCTTGTCCTCTTACCCTCACACAAAGCAACACACACAATAGATGCTAGAAACGGTCTCTTATTCCCCTTACCACAGATACAATCACACAAATTGAATATCTAGTTCAAATATGAACTTGAGCAAAATGATGAACTTAATATATTCGATGTGAGCTTGAGCAAAATGATAGGCTTCATATATTCGGAGAAAACAAGGTTAACTGAACAATGTTTCAATATGTTAGGACTAACTAAGTTATATTTTACATAAATTCGATGCGATGAAGAGAACTCGTAGAAAACCACCCTTCGCTTTTTTCACCTTCGAGAATATTGATTTCTCGAGCCAGTGGGGAAGCGAGTTGATCTCACCTTTGGCCCAGTCATTGTTATAGTTTGATTAATTGAAATAAAACTAGAAGCTAGTAACATGAAACTTTTTAGAAGAGATAACAAGACATCCTTGAAGTAGCCCAGTTTTCTTTTTGACTTCCTTCCTAGTTGTATAACTCATGAGGACAAGCTCAAACCTAGTAAACAATCTCGACAAGGTCAAGTAGGTAAAAAAGGAATGAGTTCAACCCAAACAATCAGTCTTGACTAAAGTCGAGTTGGACAAAGAAACGAGAGTTGGAACGGAAAAATAGACTTGATCCTAGTCGAGAAATTTAGACTTTAGTAGATAATTTTTTTGTAGGATTTTTAACGCCCCCAATCTAGACTAATCAACTAGGGTCAAGTTGGTAAAAGTTCGGATTCTGAAGTAAGTTTAAGATGCCCGAAGTCCCTTTTTCTATTTAGGTTGTGATTCCAATTCAAGTAAACAATATTTGTTTATTTTGGTTCCAATTCATGCTTGAACAAAAAAATGGATGGTAATCTTTTACTTTTGATTTTGATTACAGTGTAATCCTATATCAATGATTCCAATTTGGATGTTGAACAAACACCGCCTAAGTAATTTCTTAGTTAATTCCTCAACCTCAAAGACATTTGAGAGACGAAAAATCAGTTTTTCCATGGTATGCAGAAATAGAAAGCTCACAAGAAATCAAGATGAGTAAAATCATGACATGTATGGTCATTAAAAAGGTATGCTTGCATTGAAAGGATTATCCATAGTTCCCACGCCATAAAGATTTTGCTTCAATCTCTTCCCTTCAAATTCCTTAAGCGAAATTAGGTTTTATCATGGAAGGGTCTTGACCCTAAAGTCATAAGGAGATGTTATCCAGCTTTTTAAATTTTCACTTTTACGAAAAAGTCAGAAGCTCCATGCTAGTGGTTTCATAGGATCAGAAAGCAAAACAACCATTTCATTTTTAGGCTTTTACAAATAGATCCTTCCTTGAACATGTCAGAAAACCCTCGCATGGGCAAGGCCTAAAATTTTATGTGCACTTTGGACATTCACTAAATTTGAGGACACTAAATTCTCTTTCCTGTGCTAACGGATTCGGAATTAGAATGTAGAATTAGCCAGACAGAATCAGAGGACTACTACTTGTTTCACGAGAAGAAGAAATCATAACACAACATGACCTGAATGTAAATTTTAATTGCATATTTGGTAAGGAAGCTTAGATAGGGACATCATTAAAAAAATAAAAAGAAAAAAATTTCTTGTTGATTGTACTATCCAATAGGGCCTAATACCATACACCTAACATCCTCTGAGGTATTTGTTTGAAGAAAAGAAGAAACAAACCTTCCGCTGCTCAGCATCTTGTGGAGGAGGCCAAAACAATGAGGAAAACTGCAGACTATCAATCCACCTTTCCATCAAAGTTGCCATCATCTTTTTTATTGAAATGAGACGCCAGCAAGAACAAAAGCCATAAACTACCGCATCGGCTAATACCAATCAAGGATCAAAAGACTATAACTCAACATTTATTAAAACCCAAAGAGATGGCTCGGCAAGATCTTTAATCAATCAATACAACTGGGCTTCAAGCTTTCTGCTCATGAATCAAAAATCAAAATTTATTACAGGTGAAGTCTACTTGGTTCATGTTCGATTGTGTTATGTAACCCTGCACAACAAAAAACAATACTCTAAGTCTCAAAACACCACCCTGTATGATTGAACGGAAATATATTGAACTGCTTGAATATATGATAATACAATTAGATTAAAATGCATAACTTACGAGTTTGTCACTCGACTTAAATTGTTTTCATACCCTAAAATCAACATAAATATAATTGGTACTGGTGAAAACATAAATAGCCTCTATTTTTCTTTTATTGAAATTAAGTTTAAAAAAAAAATCTATATCAAATCAAACAAAATAATTAAAAGGTAAAATCACAAATCCTCTGTCTGGAGATAAACAATTATGGGAAACTACAGTTAAGTGATTTTTTTTTACTCAAAACATTAAACACGTACTCTGTTCAAGCAGAGGTATTTCTTAATCTATCAACTTCTGATGCACAATTTTCACAATTTTTAATGTCATCAGAAAAATCACCGAATTATGCATATCTGCGAGCGCACCCACACACACATATATATATTTTTTTCTTTTTTAATTATTATTTTTTAAAACTATTTCCATACCTTCTTGGTTCAGTTTTCTGATAATTCCGAAGCTGTGCTAAGAAAAACAATTGTTTTTTTTTTTAAAAACAAATATATATGTAAGGAGTAAATGTAAGATTCTTGTAAATGGTTGAGTGGGGAAAGATCAGAGAGAGAAAGATAGATACAGAACAGAGAGAGAAAGAGATCTTTATCTGCACTCTCTCACATGCATAGGTGGCAATGATATTTTATTCATGCCTCAATAAGCCATGTATGTGTCATGCTATGACCATGATGTGGGAGTTCTTCATTGGCATCCATGTATCATGCATGTACACTCTTAGCATGGCATGCAATATCTTCCTTTTTTTTATTATGAGCTTGTTTGGGAGGGATTTTTGGGAGAAGAATTAATTTTGAATAGTGATATGATAGGAAATGTGTGGTTGAAAAAGAAGAAAAAATTATTGATGTGATAAAAAATATTATTTTAGTGAAGAATGTGTGGTTGAAAATGAGAATTCATTTACTGTAGAAAAATCTAAATCTCTCCCAAACAGGGCCTATATTATTATCAAATATGTTTGGATAAATTAAGGGGGTGTTTTGTAGAGATTCTCAAATTTTACAGTAAATCAATTCTCATTTTCAACCACGCATTCTTCAATAAAATAATATTTTCCATCACATCAATAATTTTTTCTTTTTTTTTCAACCACACATTTTCCATCAGATCATTTCAAGAAAATAATATTTTCCATCATATCAATAATTTTTTTTTTTTTTAACCACACATTTCATATCATATTACTATTCAAAAATCAATTCTTCCTCCAAAAATTCCTCTCAAACAAGCTATAAATTTTTTCTTTAGCAAGCTTGAAAAGTTTGTTTATTAGTAAATGCTTAGAAGTAAATAAGTTTCTTTTGTAATAAATAATATTTATTACCTAAAAACATGATTAAGAAAGTTATTTATTTTGACATTCGACAAAATCTGAAAAGGGAAGTGCTATGCGTACAAAATAGTTTACACAATCTTTTACATGAAGGGGGACCCACATATAATAAAATATTTATGGACCCTCTCCATGTGAATTGGTGTAAAAGATTATGTACACCACAAAGTGTATATATAGAATAATCCATCTGAAAATTGAAACGGAATAGATAGAGCAACTGGTGTGGGCGAGATTAGCAATTTTTTTTCCTTTTCTTTCAATACTAAGAAATTCGCATTAACTATGTATCGACTAGTCTTTCTCATTCAAAAGCAAGCAAGAAAATTGAGAAAGTTTTAGGCAACTCTCAAGTTTCGATATGAATTTCTTTTCAAGTGTATTTAATTATATTTAAGTGACTTACTTAAACTTATACAAATGTGTTGTACTTTGCACACAAAAAATAGCTTTATTTTTCTAAGCTTACTGGAAATAAGCAATTTATGTATTTTTAGTTTTGATTAATAAATATTATTTTCTTTTAAATGCTATTTATTTTCGTATAGACAAACTTTTAAAGCATAACCAAATATGGGGTGTATTCTTGACAATTTCATCTTCGGCCTAATCATAGATAAACAATTAAATCATATTTTATCCACACGTGTTAAGAATTTCATAATTACAATGCACATTAACATGGAAGATATTTTTATAATTTAAATCGCTCATAAACACTTCCTAGATATTCTTTATATTTTATAAACATCTGTAGATTAACTGCTAAAAATTAGTCTAAATTAAAATGGACAACAGATATGAAATTTAAAAAAAAAAAATTGCCTCAAACTCCATATAAAAATTCAAGCAAAAAATTGGGTCCACTGGTGGTTTGAATTGAATACTTAATTTTATTTATATGAGAAGGTGCTTGACAAATAAAAAATTATTATCTATCCAGATATTTTCATTTATGCTACTTGGACGCTCAAAATTACCACTTAGGTGACAGAATATAGAGGTGACACATTTACATTGGTTGGTGGACAAAAAATAAAGTTCCACCAGCCAATGCAGATGTGACACGTTTGCATTCTGTAACCTAGGTGATAAACCTGAGTGTAAATGTAGCATTCTTCAAATAATTTTGATCGATGTCTTGGCAATTCCTAAGTGAAAATTTTGTCTCCATACGCCTTTCTTGTTTATTTCGAAAAGGATATATAAATTGTGATATATTTTTAACAAAAAAAAATTGAGATATTTTTGTTAATAGAAAACACATTGAGGTTTCTTTGGCCTTCATTTTATAAAATTATTTTTTAAACCACATATTTGATGAAATTCATAATTTTTATTAGTTTCAATCGTACATTTTATTTACTCTTATCAAAATACACTAAAAATTAATTTTTAACTAAATCAAATGGGGACATAGCTTATAAGTGAAAATGTGCTATTGACAATGAAGCAAGTAATTTTTTTACACACTTAACTTTAATGCATAGTTCGAATAACAGATTTACATTTTTATGTGCTCATGATCATCGTTCATTTCACGGATGAATGAAGGATAATTATATTTTCAATCATAATTTTTATTAGTTGCAGTATATTTTAATTGCACATAAGAATTTCAATATTTGCTCATCGTACCAATTATATCCTCAATTTTATTCGTCATATTTTTTATTCTCAATCTTCTATTGGTTAAGCCAACTTGTCTCTAAAAGCAATTTTCGTCCATAAAGTATGTTTTGAGAGTGCGTAAAATGGCTTTTTTCCATCATATTTTTAAAAAATTTAAATACAAAAATATATCTTTTTCTCATTCAAAACATTCAAACGTGATCTTTTCATGTAATCCATCATTAAGGACGAGATATCATAATTAATTGAAGGTTCAAGATAAAAATCCATCTTAAAAAGTTTGGAACATAAGTGTTACAATAAGCAAAGGTTGAGAGCCTTCAATACAATTAAAATATAACTAATCAACACCGTGGTGTAAATGTGATTATCCGTGGATAAATAAGAAGAATCCTTGCAAATTGCCACCACTTTTTGTAAGTAAACCATATTTTAATTGAATGAAAGGTTCATAACCTTTACAAATTATCCTTTTTTCATCGCATCTTATTCTTAACTTTCCATTAATTAGTACGTCTTCTCATTGATAACGATTTATCGTCCATAAATTTTATTAAGATAGAATAAAAAGACTTATTTATTCCTCATATTTTGAAATAACCAAAAAAAATACAAAATTACAAGAATTTTTGCAAAAAGAAAAAATCTTTGTTGGAGACAAGATGTGCTAATTGTTTGAAGGTTAATGATAAGAATGCGATGAAAAATGTTAAGGAAGTAATGTTACAAGGAAATTTAACACAATTGAAATAGGTTGTGTTTGTAATAGAATGTGGTATGAATATAACCACATTTCTTGCAAATACTGTAATATTGTTTCAAGATTCAAATTTTGGCCATAAAATCATAATACTTAGTGTATATTTGGTATTCGATGCTATATTTGGTCGAACAATACAACAAACAAGATTTTAGCATGTTTTTGTTTTTCAATATTGTTCAGGGACGGCAGTCCAACCTCACCCTTCTTGCTCTTTCCCCGTTGGGAATTTTTGAGTAGCAAAGTGGAAATCAAAACATCTTCATTTATATAATCTTTATTTTTAATATTATTTGTATAGATTTAAATTTAAAAGTGTAAAAGTAAAATAAAAAATAAGATTCGGGACAAAACGATATTTCACATTCCTCTTCGATTCTCCATGGGGACAAGTTAAGGTGGGATGGAGGTTTGATGCCATCCTAGTCGCAAAATTGATCCTTTTTTTAGGTTAGTCCGATAAAATTAGGTCAATCCCATATTTCTTTTTTCTTTTGGCTTTTGTGTACTAGCCATATGGCATGTTGAATGAATTAAACTAGATGTACATTCTACCTTACATTTTAGATGACATTTTTCTTGTACGACACAATATGAACAGTGATGTGAAGGGTGTTGGGAAAATCAAAGAATATGTTGGTGCCACGTGGATGAATATCAACAAAGATATAAAATATTGATGTACATGTAGCATGATTGATATTAAATTATGCAAATTAAGTTCAATCATGCTACATGTACATTATAATTGACATCTTCATTTACATACTTCCATATGGCGTCATTTTATCCTTTGATTTTCTCTACAATCTTTCACATCACTGTCAAATTGTGTCACATAGGGGGATGTCAACCATGTGGTAAGACAAGATGTACACCTAGCATTATTGATTTAAGTTTAGCGGAAAGACCTATCCTTTCTATGGTCTAGTAGTATCAAATTTTAAAGGTGGTGGGAAAGAAGATAATTGACTAGAATTTGAATGTCTAGAAATGAAATGATGGCAGATCACTTGAGGGATCGTCACTACAGGGGTTCCATAATGATATTCAATATTGGGGCAATGTTGCGAGATGTCGCGGGATATGTGTATTATGTTGAAACCCATAAACGTAAGAGATCGTTGTACAAGTGATAGAAATCAGCGAGTTTCGAGTTTATCATTCCTACGAGAAATAAAGTTTAAAATCTAGTTCAATAGTTATTATTAAATTCGAATGAGTATTGATAGCAAAATAATGATTTTGTAGTTGCTTATACTACTTCTAATCTATACTAATAAAGCAAATAAATTGTGATTTTAATGAATGTGAATACTTGTATTAGATTCATGATTCCCCCTATTTCCATCTATTTTAATTATCAATTAATAATCTAGTTAATTTCATGTATTTTTTCAGAACCGATAACACTACTATGTTGAATGCTCTTTTCCAATATACACCAATCTATGATCAACACGACCACATCCTATATTCCTATTCCTAGTCTAAATTCATTTGAAAATCATGCATTTAATTTAGATTATCTACATAATTGCACATGTCATAGATATTATTCCTAATATCTATTGTCAATTTGTTGATTTTACCACATTTTAAATTTATTGTGAATATTCCCACAATACAACAAGTAATTAACTATTCAAAACACACACAAAAAAAGCTCACAAAACTAAAGAAAATTCACGTTTTCCACCCCCAAACTGAAACTAGACATTATTCTGAGTCAGCATATAAAGAGGTGGGGAAGAAAAGAAACAAAGTACTTTCCTGATATGACGTGAATTCAAATGGCTAACTTGTCCTATTGCTCCCATTGTCTCCTTGGTCAACCTTGGATTAAGTATTCCTCAAGGTCATTTTCCTGCATAAAGAGGTCAAATAAAGCATTAAGGCTCAACA